GCAGGAAGTGACGGAAGCCAGTACAGCACTGAGCTGGGCAGCATGACCATTTCCAGGACCCATCTCTATGACCCACTTGCTTAGGAGCATACACGGAACAGTGGGTACATGTATCTTTACACAACAAACTGTAAGGAAGTAGTCTCATGAGTGCAAGTGCAGTCCTACCTTTAAGAAGGAGTCACAAAAGCAAAATGGAATTACAGAAGCTAAGCGTAAACGCTAAGATGGTGAGGTTTGATATGCCCTATCACCCTGGCAGCCTGAGAGCTGCAGATTTACTGTCTGTCAAGGAGGTCAGCAGCCCCTCCCCCAGCCTCTTCACCATAGCTCTGGCACCAGGGACACAGCCTTCAACCAGGAGCTTTTCGTGGGTGGGGATAATTTATATCAAGACCTTAAGAGAGATTAAGAGCTGAGCCACAGCTGAGCACAGTGCTGCATGGCCGTGATTCCAATGTAGAGGCTGAGGCAGGAGGATTGCAAGTTTAAGGCCAGTGAAGCCGGGGCAGCACAGGGAGTTCCAGGCCGGCCGGAGCTGCATAGCAGAGGCCACCTCAACAAAATGGGAGGCAAAGGGTAAGGACAGAGGGAAGGAGGAGGGACAGAGAAGAGGAGAAAGACTCACATGACCAGTCTGAATGAGGAAGGGGACATGCCCCTGTTGTTTCTTTCCTAAGTTTCTCCAAACCCTGGCCTTTACTCAGGCTGACAGCCCAGTTGTGTGAATTCATTGCATTGCATTCTTTCCTTCCTTGAGAGTTTCTTTGCTTTTATTTCTTTCCAGTCCTGAGCTCAGCGTCTGAGCAGCGTCTGAGCTGCTTTTGCTCAAGGCTAGCTAGCACTCTACCACCTGAGCCATAGCGCCACTTCCAGCTTTGTCTGGGTATGTGGTACTGAGGAATCGAACCCAGGACTTTATACATGTTGGGCAAGCTCTCCACCACCAAGCCACCTTCCACGAGAGTTTTTCTACAGCAAGGTCTGGGCTACCCAGCCATGTTCACAGCATCGACCCTGATGTCTGCCTCACTTCTGCCCTCTGGTGGCTCTCCATATGAAGCAGGCCACTTGTCCTCCCCGGTGTCCCCCTGGCTTCTGCGTGTGCCCTCCTCCACATCGCCTTGATTTCTCTCTCCCGGAGGGCTCTCGCTCCAGAACTCAGGTGCTGGCCTCCGTGTCCTTTTCCTAACATGCCCCACACACCTAGTGTCAAGCAGCTGCCTGTGGGCCAAAAGCATGAATAAACTGCACAGGCCTGGGAGTGGCAGGGACCAGGGCAGCCCCTGCTTCCCTGATTTGGGGCTCTCTGGTCAGAAGGGAAAGCAGTGGAGATGACCATTTGCCAGGGGCACAGCAGGGGGAGGAGACGAGGGTCATCTATGTGCTGGTAATGCCATCTGTGGCTCACTCTGTCAAGAATACTGCTGGCCTGCGATGAGGCTCCAGGGGTAGAGCTGGGGCTTGTGATGAGGTCTTTTCCTCCTGGACCTGGGCAGATAAGAGTAGAGCAATAGTTACAGGAGACCATTGGCATACATGTGTCCTGAGGAGATTAGAACATGTGTGGAGTGACAGTTCAGGGACCCAGCAAAAGGGTCCTCGGAGAACGTTTCCCCCAAGACCTGGGTGGCAGGAAGGAGCTGTCTGCTGAGGATGATGTGGGTCTGCTCTGACTACAGCAAAGAAGCACAGCCTAGGTGGCTTACACATGACAGATGTACTTCTGACAGCACAAGAGCGGTGTGTCCGCATGGCTGGGTGCGTGTCCTCTCCCTGGTCTGACTGCTGCTCTCTTGTCCTCAGACCAGAGGAGGAGGTGACACTTACATTTGAAAATATCAGTATTTCCTAAGGTTGGCTTTATTCACACTTTCCAAAATAAGACATTTATCCTGCTTGGAGAACATCTGTGTGTGAAGACGGCCTAAGGGGCTGGTGGAGGGGACTAGCAGTGGAAGGAATGGCACGAGGTCACCTCTGGGCCATAGCACTCAGAGCAGGCGGCCCAGGGCCTAGCCTTCCTCTGGTGAGAATGGCAGAGGGCCGCGCTGGGGGCGGGGCTCTGGGCGGGGCCGCACAGGGGGCGTGCCTAAACAGGGTAGAGCTTGAATAGGTATGGGCGGGGCCATAAAG